AGCATGTTTCTGAAGTAAAACCCATTTTAAATAATTCGTCCAGTTAGGTGAAATCTATTAAGTACTTTATACTGTATAAGTTGCAGGTTGGCATTTTTTTGTCATGAAGTAGGTATGTTTGCAGATTTGTGTCCAGAAGGCAGCATCGGGAGTAATAGATAAGTCTGATTCCCATTTAACATTTGGTCAACTTAATGCATTGTCTGATTTTGATATCATTCTGTATATTTTAGAGAGTAGTTTTTTTGAGGAAGATATATTAATTAGTGCAGAGATTGGAGGGGAAAGTGCCGGTGTCCTGCAGAGTTTAGCTCCAACTTGCCTTAACACACCTGCCTTTAAGCAGAGGCGGACAAAGTACTCAACTCCATTACTTTAGTGAAAGTACAGATACTGCTGGTCAAATATTACTCCATTACAAGTAAAAGTTGTAAAGACAGATTTTTACTTAAGTAAAAGTACAGAAGTACTTGCTTTTAAAAGTACTTAAGTACCAAAAGTAAATTTCCTTTTTTATGTCAGTGCACTGTTTTATTGTTGTATGTAATACTTGCAATACTTCTGAAGCAACTTAGAATACATTGCACCTGCTGAATACACTGACTAGCTTGTAGTATCTTTGGAATAAAGAGCTTTTAGAATGTTAAAAACCTATGGGGGAAAAAAATGAACACCCCTACCCACCCCCACAAAAGCAGTATGGTAGTGATCTCACACAGCTCTGACAGTGTGTGCACAATTACTCCCAATGCCGTATTTCTGGACCAAGTGGGAGAATGGTGCCAGGTTATTATTATGAAAGATATGCTTAAGTTGTGTGATGCCCTTTTCTGCCCATGTGGTATGTTGAGTGGCTTCTTGTTAGCTGTAAAATCTGGGTTATTCCAGATCGGGGTGTATTTAGATGGTGCAAGAGGAGTGTCTGTGATTTGAGGAAATTTCCACCAGGCTGTCAGAGCTGCGGCTATTGTCGGCATTTTAAAACAGTGATGATTTTTGATGGTCTGATTGAAGAAGGGTAATTCTGAATTGTTAATGTCCTTACAAATTGTTTGTTCAACATCTAGCCATGTGCTTTCTGATGAGTCAGGGTGAATCCATTTGTGTATATTTTGGAGCTGATTGGCCAGAAAGTAGTGGTAAAAATGTGGTGCGTCAAGTCCTTGTATTTTTGGTGTCTGTAGGGTAGTCAATTTAATTCTTGGGGTCTTGTTTTTCCAGTAGAATTTGGTAATGATTGAATCTAGTGATTTAAACCAGGAAAGGGTTGTGTTGGTGTCATTGTAAATAAAGTTTAATTTAGGGAGTATAGTCATTTTAATTACTGATATTCTGCCCATAATAGATAGTGGTAGGTTCATCTAGCGTTGAAGATCATCATCTATTGTTTTAAATAATGGAGTGTAGTTGAGTCCAAAAAACTCTTGACAGCCTGGGAGAAACAATGATATGTGATATAATTGGTGCACAGATGAATTGGTGGTGTCTGGGATGTCACATAAATTATATATTAAAATAGAAAACAATTTAAATTGTAATCATATTTTCCATATATATTACTTTGAGCAAATAAGTGTATGCATAAATTATCATTAGCTAAGATTAATAAATGCAGGTTATTAAACTGTATTATATAACCTAATTGTAAAGTGTTACTGGGCTTCTTTCAGTTTCTTGATTGCACATTTGCCGTTTAATTTAGGCAAAAATATAAATTGAGTGCTAAAATACATTTGAGATTCAATCACATTGATTTTGGCTCACTGACATTCAATTTCATTGCGTCTGTTATTTAAAAAATCAATGAATTATAATGTCATACTAAAGAGACACACACTATACACATTTCAGTTTAACTGTGCATACATATTTCATTATCAACAGACTCAGCATTTTTAATTCCATTTTAGACATTTTAATTAAAAAATGTAAAACAATAAATCCAGTGGAAAAATTCACAATTAATTTGTTTTAAAATATATTTTAGACATTTTAAAAGCTACAAATCCAGTGGAAAAAATGCACAAGAAGCTGAAAGTGGACAAATTGTCTCTGCATTTGACCAAAACATTCTGATGAACAGTACAACATTTTTCCATATGTACTTTTTTCTTGCAGCAGTACTTTCGTCAATCTATTTACATTTAGTCACTTCTTGCATCTTGATCGACTGGATTGCTGTCTGATTGGATATGCACATTTCATTTACACTTGGCCACATTAATGGGTCTCAGCAAAATGGATATTAATGCACCGTGCTAAATGCAAATTCACCTGATGCTAAAGCTGGGAAGCAAAATTATCTGTTGAACACTCGTTACCTACAAACCAAAAAAAGTTGGGACACTGTACAAATTGTGAATAAAAACAGAATGCAATGTGGAAGTTTCCAATTTCAATATTTTATTCAGAATACAACATAGATGACATATCAAATGTTTAAACTGAGAAAATGTATCATTTTAAGGGAAAAATAAGTTGATTTTAAATTTCATGGCATCAACACATCTCAAAAAAGTTGGGACAAGGCCATGTTTACCACTGTGTGGCATCCCCTCTTCTTTTTATAACAGTCTGCAAACGTCTGGGGACTGAGGAGACAAGTTGCTCAAGTTTAAGAATAGGAATGTTGTCCCATTCTTGTCTAATACAAGCTTCTAGTTGCTCAACTGTCTTAGGTCTTCTTTATCGCATCTTCCTCTTTATGATGCGCCAAATGTTTTCTATGGGTGAAAGATCTGGACTGCAGGCTGGCCATTTCAGTACCCGGATCCTTCTACGCAGCCATGATGTTGTAATTGATGCAGTATGTGGTCTGGCATTGTCATGTTGGAAAATGCAAGGTCTTCCCTGAAAGAGACGACGTCTGGATGGGAGCATATGTTGTTCTAGAACTTGGATATACCTTTCAGCATTGATGGTGCCTTTCCAGATGTGTAAGCTGCCCATGCCACACGCACTCATGCAACCCCATACCATCAGAGATGCAGGCTTCTGAACTGAGCGCTGATAACAACTTGGGTTGTCCTTGTCCTCTTTATTCCGGATGACATGGCGTCCCAGTTTTCCAAAAATAACTTCAAATTTTGATTCGTCTGACCACAGAACAGTTTTTCACTTTGCCACAGTCCATTTTAAATGAGCCTTGGCCCAGAGAAAACGCCTGCGCTTCTGGATCATGTTTAGATATGGCTTCTTTTTTGACCTATAGAGTTTTAGCCGGCAACGGCGAATGGCACGGTGGGTTGTGTTCACCGACAATGTTTTCTGGAAGTATACCTGAGCCCATGTTGTGATTTCCATTACAGTAACATTCCTGTATGTGATGCAGTGCCGTCTAAGGGCCCGAAGATCACGGGCATCCAGTATGGTTTTCCGGCCTTGACCCTTACGCACAGAGATTGTTCCAGATTCTCTGAATCTTTGGATGATATTATGCACTATAGATGATGATAACTTCAAACTCTTTGCAATTTTTCTCTGAGAAACTCCTTTCTGATATTGCTCCACTATTTTTCGCCGCAGCATTGGGGGAATTGGTGATCCTCTGCTCATCTTGACTTCTGAGAGACACTGCCACTCTGAGAGGCTCTTTTTATACCCAATCATGCTGCCAATTGACCTAATAAGTTGCAAATTGGTCCTCCAGCTGTTCCTTATATGTACATTTAACTTTTCCGGCCTCTTATTGCTACCTGTCCCAACTTTTTTGGAATGTGTAGCTCTCATGAAATCCAAAATGAGCCAATATTTGGCATGACATTTCAAAATGTCTCACTTTCAACATTTGATATGTTGTCTATATTCTATTGTGAATAAAATATAAGTTTATGAGATTTGTAAATTATTCCATTCCTTTTTTACTCACAATTTGTACAGTGTCCCAACTTTTTTGGAATTGGGTTTGTATAAAGAAATTAGTGTTTTTGAGTTTTCATCCATGTGTCTCATCTGTGTTTGCTCACGCATATGGATTGTGGGATCCCAACGTACATATGCTGATGTAGTTCTGCCCCATAAGGATCAAATATGGATCTAATAATCTGTTCCCTTAAATACAGGACAATTCTGTATGGGACAAATGGCAATCGTACATAGAATAGAAGCTAGAAAAAGAGTAGACAGAGAGGGAGACAGATAAAGTTTAAGAGCTCCCATGGTGCAGTGTGTCGACACACATGATCAGTGAAGCATGTGCTCCAGTTAACTGATCAGTTAAGCCTGAGAATTCAACTAGAGACTAGAGAGAGAAAGTAAAGAACAGAAGACTGCACTAGAACAAAGCTCCAGATATGATATTGTGAGGCTGTGAATAGATTAAAACATTGTAACTAATTAATCACACAATTGATTGCAATTATCACATCTTGACATAATGAAACACATCTATTTTATGTATTATATTTTTTTAAATATATTTTATAAATGAATATATTTATATACATTATTTTACACATTAAAATAAAATTTAAACATTCTAACTCATCATAATTTAATCTAAATTAATAGCATCAGTTTTTTTATATTATTTAATATATTTCTAATATATAACATTTTTATAAATATGTTTATATTAATTATTTGAAGACATAAAAATACTATTTAAAAAGTTAATTGTACCTAATCACACAATGTAATCACAAGTAATCACATCTATTTTTATATATTATATTTTAATGTAATACATTTCTCATATATATATAAACATTTAATTTTAATATGAATACAAATGATTTTCCCAACCATAATTTAAAATTTTTTACTGGTATACTTGCTAAGGTCAAGGTTAGCGATTTCAAACACCAAACCGGTCCTTCACCATCCACCACAGGTAGTGTTGACTAATGTAAGTCTAGGTCTGGTCAGTCTACAATTATTCCTTCATCTAGTTTTTCTTGCAGATTGTTTTCTCTTCATCTGTACCCAAAGTTTCTTCATATATATGAAACCTGCCTTATATTGTTGTTCTTTTCTTAGGTTTTTGACTGTATAACTGTATGTATTGCAGGATGTGATGGTGGTAGGTGAACCCACTCTGATGGGCGGGGAGTTTGGCGATGAGGACGAGCGTCTGATCACGCGACTAGAAAACACACAATATGATGCCAACAATGGCCTGGACGATGACGATGACTTCACGAGCTCACCGGCGCTCGGCAACAATGGTCCCTGGAACAGCAAGCCACCCACAGGACAAGACAGCAAGCCAGAGAGTACGGCCTCACAGCCCTCTCAGTAGGAGACAACACGTGCAATGCCCCGTTAAACCACCAGGGCGGCGCTCTTTCTCTCTGACCTCATTTTTTACCCTCGATGATGTAAATCCCATGTGCTGGTGTCAATGATGTCATCCATTTTCACCAGAAACTGATGGTTCCACTTCTTAATTTGGGTAACGTTTAAGAGCTTCACAGACCAAACTTTGGCAGCAATATTTGCTCACTGGATTTTTTAAAAATCATCTAGCTAGGCAACAAAGCAGCCCAAGAAATGTGACTCTTGGAGGAACTCGACTTTATCAAGGCTGAATCTGAATTAACAGAGACCTGAATTTGGGACAACTTTAGTCCAATAATCAATGTAAAAGATGTACCAGTCTTGCAGTTCATCACACATCTCCATAGTGACTCCAGTTGGCAACCACACTCGACATCAACCAATCGCTGAAGAGACGGTTATGTTGGCTTTCTTCTCACTGGAGACTGGGACTGCAGAGGCATCCACTGAGACCAATCCCTGAACATTTGCATTTTTATTGGAAATTCGTTTGGCTATTGTCTTTTCCCCTCTGCTTTCAATTAAAAGTGAACCGCCTTGCTTTCCTTCAACACAACAGACTGTATTAACAAAGATAGCTTGCATTGAAAGAAAAAACATCACCAGTTGCCATTTAAAGAGTGTACTTTAATTAAAAAATTCCTTTTTGATTTCAGAGTTTGTGTTTTTTTATTAATTTGTGATTATTCTATATTCTCCTTGTACTGTACCATCGAGATTAGGAGTTTCTTGATTGACAGGCAGGCACATATGAGAAGCATATTTGTCCATCTTTCGCCTATCTCCCTGTATTGACTTATTTTCATAATGGAATATGTTTCTGCATGACATTTCAAAATTGGTAACATGTTTATTTCCAGACTTTTGAGGTCATGTTGGACTTTGGTTATCATTTTGGAAGCACAGTAACCAGGGTTGTGACAATAAAAATGCATTCTGCTTCATCTGATGTCACTGAAGTCATCAGACCTTGATGTAAACGGCAGCTGTTTTGACGTTTACTTCTTGTTTGACCTTTTTTTTTTTTTATCTGAATAATGGATTTCATACTCAGGAAGTAACACCATACTGAGAAATGAGTACATTACCTTTTAAATTTACTGTTCGTTTGCTTTGTATGAGTTTAAATAACATTCGTTATGTCTAGCTTCAGACTAAACAGGAAAACAGCCTTTTTATTTAAAAATCATCATTCAAAAAAAATGGAATGCCCTTCTATCAAATGATGTGTTCAGTTTTATACAGCTTTAGGTCATTTCTGTAGCTAGAGTTTGTTTTCATTTTTTCATATATACTGTTCATTTGGAAACGTTTCTTAAAGTCCCTTTAAGAGTTGCAGTGTGCTTTATTGAAGATTACAGGGATGATGATGATGATAAACAGCCAAATATTTTTTTTTATTAATCAGATTCTTTGTTCCTGTATTTTGTCATTACAAAACATATTTCCTGAATATTATCACAAAGACTTAAGATATTTCCAAAACCAACAAAATTACAAGACAATATCAGCCCACCACTGTTTAAACCTTGTATTATTGAAATTCTGCACAGATTGTAAAATATTTAGCAGAGCTGTTGTTTGTGTCATATCCTAAGTCTTGTATGTATGCGTTGCCATTTTGTGTGCCAATAAATTGTGCTTACAAAACCTTTGGCCGCAATATTTCTGCCCCCGCTTACTCAAGTTTTATTTTGCACAACATTTCCATCATGTTTTCTATATTGCTCTGACCTGATTTAAGGAAGACAGGTGCAGATCTCACCGATCTATCAACAATTGCCATTACAATGCAGTTTTGACCGCATCCAGGTAAATCAACCGCACTTCATCTTGCTCCTCTTAAAATGTAAAAGTCTCAATGGCACCACCCTGTGTTCGATATTAAATATGCAAGATGAGTTTCTTGCCTGTGTTTTGTATATTTATAAATGCGCCATATATATATATATATATATATATATATATAAAATATATATATACACACCATGACAGCCAAAACTGTGTCATTCATTGTTACATACTGTACAATAATCCGACAATTAAAAAATTAACAACATCAATAATGCGCTTGCCTTACCTGATGCACTTTAACAGACAGAACTAGAGAAAGTCTTCTGTGAAGTACATATTGTAGAACACAATACAGAACTTTGCACAGTCAAAACTACTCAAGGTTCAGGATAAGTTCAGGAAGCTTGCATTTTAAAGGGGTCATGAACTGAGAAATCAAAATTCTCATGACATATGAGAGGGCATTGTACTATAGAAACATCCTGTAAGTTCGAGAACATAACACTTTCTCGTTAGTCTAAAAACCGCTTATATTGAAGCCAGTCTGCCAAAACGACAGGTTGTGGAATGTGCCACTTTATGACGGAAAAGTGTGGCTAAACACCGCCTCCGCAGAAGAAGATCAACGCCTGCTTCTACATCGCTGTCTTCCTTCTGATGCCAACACGAGGAAAAAGTGGATTAACTTTATTTTTAATGAAGTGAACTTTATTTTTATTGCGTGGTCATTATTGCTTTGTCTGTTATTACAGATCGTTTGATATGTACGGTGTATTTACGCGTTTTTACCTAAATCACAACAGCGTTCATCTATGAAGGATGTAGGCTATCAAACATACACAACTGCTAGCCAATCATAGCAGTGGGCGTTTACTTCTGAGTCTACAATCTGCTACGCCTATTCAAACAGAGCGTTCCAATGTGGGGGGTCAAAACAGGACAGAAAATAGCTTATTACTTCTAAATTATGATGTTTTTTGATGTAAAAATCTTGATAAGATCATAAGTGGACCTCAGAGAACAGTACAAAATAAAAAAACGAAGGCAGTTCATGACCCCTTCAAGTTAAGATAAGCATTTGCTGTAATAGTGATGTATAACTTTATTATTTGTCAAACTTGTGTAGCAGGTTGAAAAAGTTATTTAGAGTTACTTTTATAGATCAAAATGAGTTCTGTATATTGAATGAAGGAAACTTTGCTGAAGAGAACACTTATTACTATAATGGTGGCTTAAAACATAACAGAACTTTACAAGATGTAACCAAAAACACTACATAGATCTAAAACATGTTTATTCTGAATAACTAATATTTGTCGTCATAAGTTCTAATGCTTTGACTAAAACACAAATTATTCAAGTGCGTGATAAGTCATCAAACTGAGCACACTCAGCAGCCTGTTAGCTGGACCTTCACCACCAAACATGACATTGTACGTTTTTGCTCTTTATTATTTTAAACTGCTTCTACTAAATGGCCTAGTGACAACTTTTTCTATATTTGATAGTTCAATCAACCTTTAAAATAGTTTTTCTGACAAAATGACTTACAAAACATTTTAAGTTTACTAAAAAACAATCCCTAAAATTTGTCATTTGAACACAGAAAATGTCTATTGTCAGGTGACAAGGCTGTCACCATACTTTGCATGAATCAGTTAATTGGTCACATGGTCACAAATGAAGAGATGTTGGCTAAATAGTTAGCCTGACTGTCACTATTACCTTTTTGCCACTCACATGCTTGATTTCTTGCCACTTGTCAGTTATTTGAATAATTGTATTCTTTCTTTTATGGATATATTGTGATGTGTTCTATTTTTGCTGAAATGAGCTTGTCGATCACTATAAATGTTGACTCTTCAATTTAATAGCATTGAACACTTGTTTTTGTTTTGTTTTTTGCTCTTTACCCCACAGACTTGGATGACTCTGTCGGGCCGTCTCTGCTGAGGTTCACGTGTGCAGAGCTCACCAGGGGCTACTTCCTGGAGCACAACGAGGCCAAGTACACTGAGCGGAGGGAGAGGGTGTACACCTGCATGAGGATCCCCAAAGAGCTGGAGAGGGTGAGGCCCACAATGCTCTTCTTTCTTTTAGGCTGTAACCTAAAGAATCACAGAAATGATAAACTTCACCTTCAAATACGGTCAAACATTTCACACTTATCACAGATGTTATATTTCCATATTTTCTAACCAGAAGTATGACCCATGTGAATAAAGTAAAACTGTGGAAACAAATTGCTGCATTTTCAAATGCATTTCAAATACACATATTTAATGCATGGATACTTCCCAAATTTGTAATGAGAACCTTTATAAATATGTTGTTGACAAAAGAGAAGCTTTAAGGTCTCCCAGCTATTTTTCTGCCATAATAAAAGCTCTTTAGGGTAATGTTTAAAAGCAAGGAATTTAAATTTTTATTTTATTTTAATCAATGTAGAATTTCTATACCTCTGTGTGTTGACCTGATCATCACTCTTTTAAAGTGAAAAATGTGCCGTGATGTGTGGCCAAGTATGATGTCCCATACTCAGAATGTGTGCTCTGCATTTAACCCATCTAAGTGCACACACAGAGCAGTGAGTAGTGAACAAACACTGTGAACACACACCCGGAGCAGTGGGCAGCTGTTTTTGCGGCTGCGCCCAGGGAGCATTTGGGGTTTCGGTGACTTGCTCAAGGGTCTCACCTCAGTCATGGTATTGAGAGTGGAAGAGAGTGCTGGACATTCACTCCCCCCACCGACAATCCCTGCCGGACCTGAGACTCGAACCCGCGACCTTTGGTTACAAGGCCGACTCTCAAACCATTAGGCCACGACTGGCCTAAAAGATTAAATGCAAAGACAACTTCATTATAAAGAAAAATAAATGAAAAAATATATCATCATCAGTCTATGACAAAAATACTATTATAAACTAGGTTAGTGGATAATTCAGCAGCAAAGGTTACTCTAGAAAAATCATGAGTGCACAATAGTTTTATAAAATCTAAACATTTAGTGGAAAAAACATTTTGTGGGGAACAAATAAAAGTGTAGGACTAAATCTGGTAAAATGTTACACATTGCTCTGTGTATTGTTGTAAAATACATTCATGAATATCAAGTAAATATATATACTATAAAATGAAAGGCATTTCTTTTACATGTATAGCACATTAATGAGGCAGCAACATATGATAGATGGGACAGAAGAAGAAAGGCTATTAATAGTCTTTCATTGCGCAAAAGTATTATAATATAAAAAATTCATACGGAGCGGCACAAAGCTCTTATGAGCATCCCGTGTGCAGAATAATGCGTTTGAAGCAACATGGAGTCACAGCGTGCATAGAAAAGTTCAAAGCACAAAGGGAAGAGATATTGATGCGTAGTGTATTATATTCTTTTTTTCTTTAAACAGTCTTAAATTTCAGTTATGCGTGTGTGAAGAGCAATTCATAGTGGTAGAATTTAACAGTGTTTAGAAACGGCACTAAACTCCAGCAAGATAGTCATTTTATGCAAAACCATTGATCTTTATCTACAGATCAAGTTTAATAATAGGAGCATTGAATCATCTTGATGAGAGTTTCATTGTCTTGACTGTCGTAACCGAATGTGATGCGCTGAATGACAGACAGCTGCAGTGGAGAGCAGAGTTTGTGTCAACTTATTTAACGACTTAAATATTCATCTGAACCTCACATTAAACTGGAACGGCTTCAGAAGACTTGGAATCAAGTGCACAAAAACTTTATGGTGCTTTATGGGGCTTAACAATAATATTTTGAATAATATATATATATATAATTTTTTTTTTTTTGTCTTTAGCTGATCACATGTATGACTCTTATTCTTAATTTAGTTATATTATCCAAAAGTTTAATAAATGAGTATGCAGGAGTTAGTGGATATGTGGAAATCTGTGAATGCAAAGTAGAGCTGCACGATAAATCGCATGCGATATTTAATGCGCATCTTGTCAGTAAAGCTGGTTCCCTTTCAGTCGGTCACTCTCGACGTCACGTCGGATGACCGACGAAATTGGGATCTCGCTTAGAGAGACCAATCTACTTTGAGTGTAAACTAAACGAGCCAATGCACATTGGCATGTGATTATTGCATCCAGCTGCCGCTGATCACAGCGTGAGTATAAGTAGGCAGCAGATGCAGTGCATATTCAGCTTTTCGCTTCGGAGCCGAGCGATCACATCGTTCTGCTTCTGACTACTCTACTGAGAGAAGAAGACTGAACGAGTTCAGCACACTCTTGGAGAGCTCTTCGTGTTGGCGGTACGGCACTTCAGCGGTGGTGGTTTCCCGTGTCGAGTGGGTTGCACACATCAGGCTGCACTACCCCCTGTTTGTGTTGCAGATGATCATCTCCCCTGTGCGCCTCAGCACGCTAAAAGAGCTTTTTCCCCTAAAAGAGCAATTTCAAGTGCGTCTTTTTAAAGACAACGTTGCTTGGCAAACTTGACGTTACGTCTTTGTAAAGACGATGTGGGTCTTGCCATAGACAACGTATCACCCGAGCGTTTCTGGATGCGGTCATTACCTGGCGCTGGGTGATGGTCACGATCGCTGTCTCACGTGCCTGGGCAGGTAGCACGCTGAGGTGGCGTTTGTGGATGAGTCATCTTCTCATTGCGGGAAGATGATCATCTCGGAGTCGCGGGCCAAGCTCCGTTTCCTCAAGGGGCAGAGTTCCGTTGCCTCTGCCTTGGTCTAGTTCTCCTCATGGTGGCAGCCAGGGGGGACTACTTCAGGCAGGAGCACGGGCGGTCTGAGGCACTCCGCAGCCAGTTGAGCTGCCAATGGAACGTGCTGGGCATATCAGCCATATCCTTTGGCGCTCCTCCCAACGACCAGATGTCGATTGCAGCATCGGAGGGTGAGTCAGAGCTTTCTGGAGAGGAAGATTCGGCTGCGCTGCTCTCCTCCGGGACTGTAGCAATGCCTGAATCAGATCCAGAAATAATGACTATGCTTTCCCGGGCCGCCGTAGGGGTAGGGCTCGAGCGGAGACTTCCACCGTGTCCCGAGCCCTCAAGGTTGCTCTATTGGTTCTCGGGGTGGTCCGTGCTTGTTCTCAGCGCCCCGCCTCGGTGCCTTTCTTCCCGGAGGTGCATGAGGAGCTCAACAGGTCGTGGACAGCACCTTTTTACTGACGGAAACTGATCTGCTGGTTCCTCCTCCCTCACCACCCTCAATGGTGGGGCAGCTAGGGGGTTACAAGGGTCCCCCCGGTGGAGCGGTCGGTTGCGATGCAGTTGTGTCCTAATGGCGTGCAGCTGCTGCCGTCGCCGAGGGCGGCCCCCCTGCCACCACCAAGCCGCTCCTGCGGCCTCCAACAAAGCTGTGCCGTGGAGCTGGTCGCAGGGCAGCCACCCCACCCGTCCAGGCCCTCGCCAAACCTGGTGGCAAGCAAAAGAGCAAGAGGCCCTGAGACTGGCAACCCAGAGGTGGAGGGACCTGCTCTTCAGGAGATGGTAAGCCCACCACTCCCTCCCCCGGAGGAGGGCCGGGCGGAGAATCTTTACATCTTTTTCCGCCACTGACCTTTCGGTCGGTGGTACCCAAATACTCAACAAAGAGCAATTCCTCTATTTCTGGGTCGCCAGAGGGAACGGGGGGTTGTGGACGTTCCAGTGCGTATCACACTCACCCTCCTCTCTCGCCAGTGGGCGGATCGGGAGGACAAACCAACCGACTACCCACGCACCCTCTGCTCGAACGCAGGTCAGTGTTACACACACCCAGACCCCGCCTCGGACCGGCACCGAGATGCCCGGGCCGGTTCCCTGCGTTCCTCCGCGCTGCCCCACTGCGGGTATGCCTGTAGTTCCGTTGATGCCACTTACGCGGTGTCTGGGAGCCTGGCTTGAGCTACCCAGCCCGTCTCGATGG